ACGCGGTCAACTCTCTGAACGTTCCGACACGCAGTCAATATTTGGGGACACGCGGTCAACATTTGGGGACACGCTCGGACACGTTTTTTTTATTTATTTTTTTATTTTTTTATTTTTTTTTGTTAACTAAATATAAGAAATAATTCATAAATTAATTTTTTTCTGTTATAAAATTTGACATTAAAAATTAACAAACTACGAAAAATTATTTATATTTATATTTATGTTATGAAATTTAAATATTTAATTGGTTATATGACTTATTATGGACTCTTATATGTATTAAATATAAATCATATTATATATATTAAAAAATTTATTTAATATCAAAACGTGTCCGAACGTGTCCAAATATGACATTTTTTAGAATTAACGTGTCGGCGTGTCGTGTCGTGTCCCGTGTCCCGTGTCCGTGCATCATAGGCAACAACAACAAAAAGTTCACTGACACCCAATACCAAAAATTGTAGCAACGTTCTTCACAAAAGGCAAAAACATAAACTAAAAAAAAAGAGGAACCAAATCTAAAATTATTTACTGAATACACTGTAAAATAAAAGAACATCTATTTACAAAAAAAAAAATATTTACAAAAAAAAAAAAAGAACATCAAAAACACAATCAAACGTTATAAAGGTGGAAGCTTTAATAAAAAAACAAGAATTGGGATGAGAAAGAGAGATCATATCAAAGAGATCAGATCAGAGATTGAGATCAGAGAGAAGGAGACACGAGCGTAACAGGAATGACATCGATAGTGCTGAGATGATCTATTATCTACTTAAGAAGGGGAAATTAATATAATTAGGTGAAAGTTTTATTAATATATTTTAATTTTTTAAAAAATAATTTTTCAAAAAACTATAATATTTTTACAAAAATATCATTTGACCGTGTTGGAACATGTCAAACATAATCAAATTCGCATGTCGAAATAATCGTGTCAAGAATGTTAACCGCATATCATACACACTCCTGTTTTTTGGAGTTTCCGCGCTTTCTAGTATAGTACCTATAATCCCGGAAGGCCAAATCCCAGAACAGTTAAAAAGGCTCATAAGGACATAAAAATAACATCAAAAAACAGGACAAGTATATTATCATGAAAAGCTGGAACCAAATTACTGAGAAACACTCTTTACAAAATGTTTTCTTATCAAGGGGTTACAACCTCACTCCAATCTAAAGAGAACCAACAATTTCCTCAAATACATTATTACATTTGTTGATGACCACTAATTTGTGGGCAACCCTTGTCATCATTTCCCTCTACGGACCATTTGAAGGCCTGAACACAGTATAACCATTGACACCAGATGCCATATTTGAGTAATCATGATAGTAGGAGTAACCATCATTCTCTGTGTTTCTCATTCCTAAATAAGATAGATCAGAACCAGCTACCTGCCATTGGTTTTGAATCAACCCATCTACCTTGCCATTTCCATATGATAGCGTACTCACCTGTGGAAGATAATCCCTCTGTGAGTCAAAAGGCCCACCAGATGAACTATACCCTCGTTGAAACCCAGGGTCATGGTAACTTCGTGATCTCTCAAACCTACCACTGGTTGACGATCCCAAATCATCATTTGTACCGGTTTCTCCAGGAAAACTGAACTGTCGATTTAGAAACTGTGATCCATCATTGAGGGGCTGGAAGACTGAACTTGCCTTGGCTGTCTTCCCAATACCATGCTCATCATCAAGCAGGTCATTTATGATATCAAGGTGTGGGAATTCATCCACCAACAACCCTTGGTTCTGATGCCTGGATGTGCAGGCTGGGAATTCACTCGGTAGTTTGCCCAAAGATCTACTGTCTACTGGATTGTACAAGTCAAAGTTTCGAACATCATTAAGTCGAGAAGGGGGTTCATAGTGCATGCTTCTGCCGGGTTCCCTTTGAGAACTCTCAATCCACTGGGTTCCATTCTGTAAAACATCTCGTGTAAACATACCAAAGGGAACACCAGACTGGCCAGCATTAGAATCCATATTCTCGGATATAAATATTGGAGATGATACCAAGGAAGGTGGTTGTGAATAGCCAGGAGATGGGTTTACTCCTGAATTAGAGCTGGAATGAGTGAGATTTGCAGCAGTTGAGGCCATGTGATTCCCCATCATTGCATTTCTGTAGGACTGAGGAACAAAACTATGAGTAGCAGGTGCGGGATCAGGTCCCAATCGACCGGTTGCACTCACTGAACGTCCAAGTATTGGAGGTGTTTGAACCACAGAGACAACAGAAGCAGTTGGCCTGGGACCACCAGGACCTAGAGGAGCACTAGAAGGCCTTGACGTCATAGCCACTTGTGTCATAGATCTTTCAGTTAGTCTTGGGGGTGAAGTCTTCTGGATCTCTGTTTTGGGTACAGTTGTTAGTTGTGATGCAGAAGTTGAAGATGAAGATGCATCTTTATCAGTCTGTTGTGAGACACTAAAAGATGTTTTCCTGACATGAACAGGATCTGCATTAACACTAGTCTGGTGTTCTAATTTCATTGGAACAGATGAGGGTAAGTTTCTTGGAGAACTCCTAGGTGAGGATGGCACTGCTGATGTCTTCTCTTTCTGTAGGCTTTCAATATCAACTGGTTTTTCGACGTCAATTTGGTCTTTGATGCTCTGTTTCTTTTGTAGTGGAAGAACTTCCTCATCCTATCAATTAGAAAAGCAGCCTATGACATCAGGCTCAAATTGTAAAAGCACTAGAGAGATTTTAATATCGAAATAAACACAAAATTTATTAAAACAAGACAGTTTGAAAGAAAATTTTGTCAAAGGACATGTTTAAAAATATATATATATCAAATCAACCATCAATATTTCTCCCATTCCAAATCTAATCTCCTACCCTTCAAGAAAAAGAAAGTCCAGCCAGATCCCTTTGCCACATAAATACAATGCAACACATCTTAAGTTGTGGTTAAAGCAACACATGTCAAATATTCGAACAAATGAAAAGCCCAGATAAGTGCAAAAGTGTATGATTGCAGAGGCACTTTAATTTTCACATCTTTTTAGCTAATAGGAATGATAGTAGAATGGAAGAATTTAAAAATGAAAATATTTTTCATAGCATGAGATTGAAACAAGGTGGAAAATATCAGCATCATTTTCCCATGAATACTTCAATTCTTATGCAGACCAATCTTTAAACAACATAGATATATTGAAACATCACCAATTTGTTTTCAGCCGTGCAAAATCAAATTTTTTTTTTCCAGATGAAAAAGAAATAAGGCAAAACGAGGTGTTCAATCATCTCTCTATTTTAAAACTCTTAAAATTTTGTCTTTTGAAGTCATTCTCAGTGAAACTACTCTGGGTCTTTCTTGATGGTGAGACAGAAACAGGAAAAAATTAATAAATAATCCAACATGAGAGAGCAACACAGAGAACAGAAAACTAAACAAAAGGAAGAATAACAGAAAAAAAGGGGACATATTCAGCAGCAAATCATTATAGGATAAGCTTTTGAAAATAAGACCTTCTTTCTGACAACATGCTGCTCAAGCCACTTTAACCGATCCTGCAAGCATAAAACAGCACCCTCAGACTCAGATTCACCCACCTTACCACTTCCAGACTCATTGTTAGTATCCACAGCATCTATAGCAGAGCCAGATGCCTGACTATCCATTTCAGTTGTCAAACTACCTCCATCACAAGATGCTTTAACTTGGTTCTTATCTCTACAGATAAAAAGTGCCAAATCAAATTAACACTTAAGACACATCATTGATATTCATCCACACGAATAAACACTACTCTATATACTTGCCTGCTAGGTGACATTTGGACTTTGTAATTTGAAAAAGAGTTCCCCTTGTAGGGGTCATTCATCACCACTGATGGCAATGAATCAGTAGAGCATGTTGAAGAACTGTCATCCATCACTGAACCGCTCCTCATCTCAGCCATTCCATTTTGTACAGATGAAAGACCACCTATACAATTGCTACTAGCCTCAGTTGGAAGATGAACTTCTGATGCATCAGTATCCCAATTAACAGGACTAGCATCTCTGTCTTCTGAATCAGGCTGAAGCACATCACCAACTGCATCCACAGAGTCAGACACATCAGAAACAACTTCCAGGGCATCAAGCTTTTCATCCAGAGTTTGAACTTCCTCCAAGTTACAATCCTTTTTCTCATCAGTAGCATTGTCTTGCTGCTTGTCATGTACAACCATAGTAGGCCTCTCCTCCCTACCCTTATCCTTTCCTTTCCGATTGTTACGTTTTTGTTTGGACTAAAGTGACAAAAAAGGACTATGTCAGCACTAAAAAGGAAAATCCAAACAACTCCTTTCAGCAACCCCATGTACATGACATCCTTAAATCCCACGAACAGCAGGCATGCCAAAGGAAAGGAACATCAAGAAAACATCTTGGGTGAATTATAGTTTATAAATTGCTGGAAAAATATTTCAAATTAGGAATAATTAGCAAAAACAATATTTATTGGTTCATTACATAAACTAGTTTGTGGAAATTCAAGATTGTAAAAGTAAAAGGTCTTAAACATGTACATGAAACATAAATATAGGCAAATCATGTAGGGACAACCTAATAACAAACCAATATTCCGAAGATTGGAGTTTTAATATACAAAATCTTTGCCCAGAGCAGCTGTCATATATCAGAAATTAGCTAATTTCTTCAATAATAAATAATAGTAACATTATGATGCTACCAGATATTTTGATTGTTTTATGGTAGTTGTTGTTTACGATGCAAGTTCTGTAGAGCAAATTATAAGAATGATTTAATCTCGACTCTATTGAGTTTTAACATCAAAATATTAACTAAAAAAGTCAGACAAATGCATTTCAATCTGTGACATATAATCAAGTAAAAACCTAATTTGTTATAAAAACAACCAGGGAACACCACAGCATCTGTTAAATCAACTTTAGGTAATCAGAGATCCCTTGACAATGCAAATTAGAAGTGTGCCAGACCTGTTTCTTCTTTGACTTCTTTTCCCTCTCATTAACTCCACGTTTTGCTTTCTGCTCGCTTTCAGCCAGGCAAGCTGCCTCTTCACGTATGAGCTCTTCTTGTATCTTCAGAGCAACTGCGTGCTGGTAGGAAACCTCAATTTTATTGCTGCACCGAGTAAGTAAATAATTAGGATATCTTAATCCATTCACAACCTACAAATAGTCAAAATATACAGGTAAAAATATCAACGAAAAGAATGAGCAGTACAGACATAGTAAACACTTTACATGTTACCAAAATTGAGTTAAGCACACCTTATTTATAATATATACATTCAACATCTCATACAGAAAGCAACACAAAGCCCAGGTCGCAGGAGATAACAAGCACTGAATCACTTTCGTTTAGACAACGATATTGCACTAAATGCTCAAGTATAAACTTCCATGAACCCCAAAGCTAATTGCAAAATCAACCAACTGAAACTATTGGCTATCAAGCTAGCCACATATCATCTAATATTGTCTCACATGACACTAATTATTAAATAAAATTCCATGTCCATGTCCCATGGTAGTACATCTATATATCAGAGTCCAAGCACAGAAGGAATAGTACAAAGTACACACTTAAGCTTCAGAGTGTAATGTCATCTACAGGAAACAAGATTGTCAGTAGAAAAGCTCAAAATGCCTTATTTCTCATCCACTTATGAAATACCATAGATAGTGGAACTTTTGCAAAGAATTCTTATCATGGTAACAACAGACAATCTCATCTGTAATTGATAATAAGCTTCAAGTAAGATCCCGAAAGAGTAAGTACATGGAATTCAGAAATAAAGATTAAAATAACGTTGCAAATTGCAAAGGATGGCTTAGATAACTTGGCATGACATCTGAAATCACATAGAAGCCAAGCCAACTTGCTAAGTATTGACAGCTTCTTACAGCAAATCACCTAAACTCTGATCATAAGAGTCACTAACCCTCTTAAGGAAAAACAAATTTCTGAAATTTTTAATATCAAAATGAAAGTTCAACCTGCAACCATAATATATAACAAATTGGATAACATCATAACTGATGTGAATTTAAGGAGTCTACTCCCTGATGATCAATACTAACTGTTGAAATTATAGGGATTAAGATAGAGAAGGGGGAAAGAGAGAACAGACTCTGAATAATAAAATTATATTGATATTTCTGTGAAGGATACGATATATGATACAAAAGACACAACACTAACCCCTATTTATACTAATAGTAGCCTCCTAGTCCTAATTAAATAACACATCATAAAATATAAAAAAATCAACATCAACAACACTTTTATCCCAAACTAATTGGGGTCAATGGTAGATAAACCCAAATGAAAGATACGAAGGGATAAAAATAAAAATAAATAAAATAATATATATATATATATATATATATAAGTAAAAGTTAAAGGGATTAAAAAATAAAATAAAATAAAATAAATAATAAAAAAATACATAAGAGACAAAAAAAGATGGGGAAGGAGAAAAGAGAGAAAGGAAAAGAAGGGGAGGGCGAGATGAAGAGAAAAAAGACTAAAAAAGGACCATCTGTAACATAGGAATAACAACAAATCTAACCCTCCACTATGCCAATAGATTTTCTCCATTCCGTCCTAAGGCATATCGTCCGCCAATCTATATTCCACTCCATTAAGTCTTGTTTTACTACATTCTCCCAAGTAAGTTTCGGTCAACCTCTACCTTTCTTTATGTTGAGCTCTTGGTAACAAATTTTTGTTCTTACAGGAGCATCCAGGGGCCTTTTCATTATGTGCCCAAATCACTTCAATTTATGTTCTCTCATCTTTTCAACCACCGGTATATCTTTATTTCTTATCTTATCCATCCTCATATAAGCACACATCCTTAACATCCTCATATTTGCTACTCTCATTTTATGTTCATGTTGCCTATGTGTTGGCCAATATTTAGTTCTATATAACATTGCAAGCCTTACTGCTATTCTATAGAATTTTCCTTTTAGCTTAAAGGAAATTTTGCGGTCACACAAAAACCCAGATGCACTATGCCATTTCATCCACCCTGTTCTGATTCTACGATTTACATCCTCATCAATCTCTCCACTGTTTTGCAAAATGGATCCCAGGAATCTAAAAGCATATTTCTTAGATACCTCTTGACTAAGTAGATGCACAGGATCTTAGTCTACATCTCTTACCAGAGAAAACTCACACTTCATATACTCAGTCTTGCTCCTGTTCAACGTCAATACTTTAGACTCCATTGTGCTTCTCCACAATTCATGTTTTCTATTAACACTGTCTTTGGTCTCATCAATAAGCACAATATCATCTGCAAAAGCATACACCATGGCACTTCCTCTTGGATATCTTTTGTTATTTCATCCATAACTAAGGCAAAAAGATAAGGACTTAGAGCCAAACCTTGGTGCACACCTACCGTGATAGGAAAATAACTTAATGTTCCATTATAAGCTTTCACACATGTAGTAGCCCCATCATACATATCATTGATTACCTTTACATGCTTTTATGGTACTTTTTTCTTCTCAAGAACCCACCATAAAACTTTTCTTGGGACCCTGTCGTATGCTTTCTCAAGATCTATGAACACCACATGTAAGTCATTCTTCTTTTCTCGATATCTTTCCATTAATTGTCGCATCAAGAAAATGGCTTCCACGGTACATCTTCCTGGCATAAATCCAAATTGATTTACAAAAACCTTGGTCTCTCTCCTCAAGCGATGTTCAATAATTCTCTCCCATAACTTCATAGTATGGCTCATTAGCTTAATACATCTATAGTTAGAACAATTCTGAATATCTCCCTATTTTTTGTAAATAGGCACAAACATATTTTTCCTCCATGCATCAGACATCTTATTTGTCTGAAGAATCTTATTGAAAAGATTAGTCAACCATTTTATTGCCACATCCACCAGTTCTCTCCACACTTCAATAGAGACACCATTGGGTCCCAAGGCTTTATTAGTTTTCATCCTCTTTAAAGCCTCCTTAACCTCACGTGTATTGATTCTACATACAAATCTGCTATTCAAATCATCATAAGTGTCCTCCAAGTCCACCTCGCTTTTATTGCCATCCCCATTAAACAGCTTGTTAAAGTAGTTCATCCATCTTTCATTTATATCTTCATCTCTCATCAAAAGTTTTTGATCCTTGATGCATCTAACTTGGGTGAGATCTTTACTTTTCTTGTCCCTCATTTTTGCAAGTTTATATATACCTTTTCACCATCCTTGCTCTCAAGATTTTTATACAAATCGGAGAAAACCTTGCCTCTAGCTTCCCGCACTACTTTCTTTGCATTTTTTCTCGCCAATCTAAACTTTTGCAAGTTCTCATTAATAGGACTTTTATGCAAATATCTAAAGCATTCCTTTTTCTGATTAATTGCCTCTTGCACCTCTCCATTCCACCACCATGTTTCCTTTTTATGAAATCCATTTCCTTTGCTTTCTCTCAACACCCTCCTTCCCATATTTTGAATACACATAGCCATCTCATTCCAGATTTCATTTGCTCCTCCATCAAACTCCCATGGTCCTTAATGCAACATTATTTCCTTGAACTCTCTCTGTTTTTTCTCCTTTAGCTTCCACCATCTTATAATTGGGTTCTGAGCCATCTTCCTCATTAAGTACTTTGTTGAACCGAACCTCTAGTACTACCAGCTTATGTTGCGTAGAGATACACTCTCTAGGGTAGACCTTATAGTCGACACAGTAAGTTCTATCTTCTCTTCTAGCCATAAAGAAATCAATCTGACTACGATTTTGGCCACTATGATATGTGATTAGATGTGACATTTTTGAAAAAGGGTGTTCGCTAGCATCAAATCCTAGGCTAGTGAAACGTTTAAGATATCTTCTCCAATCTCATTTCTTGTTCATAGTTATCAAATGAGGATTGCGGCCTGATGCGGCCAACCCTCAAAACCGCTATAGCGCTATTGCGGGTTCCGGTTGCGAAAATAGCAAAAAAAAAATATTTATTAAAAAAACAAATTATATGTATATATATGTGTGTGTAACATAATAAATTATTAAAAAAATAATAACACCTAAAAAAAATACAAATAATAATAAAGAAATTAAAAATAAAGGCAGAGTTGACATGTTACCTCTTAGTAATAAGTGTCCAAACTTTAACTATAGTTGTACTACCTTTAGTTGTAACTATACTTTACTGATTTACCATATTTATCTTAGTTAGTTTAGTGTTTTACCTTAGTTACCTTTTAATGATACATTCTCTTTTTTTTTTGGATATAGAAATAGTTTTACCCACTGATACTATAACCAAGTTACTTGGTTACTGTGACTTGTGAATCACTTTTCTAACAAATGTACTTTTCTTTTGTTTGAATAAAGATAAATCAGAATCTCTTTCTCTCTCACTTTTTCTCTTTCATCCGTTCTCTCTCTCACAGCTTCTCTTTTTCTCCTTCATTTGTTCTCTCTCTCTCTCTTACTTTTTCTCCTTTTCTCCGTCATCTGCTCTCTCTCTCTCTGACTCAAAGCTTTGCTTCTTCGTTCATGGCTTCCACATTGAACTTCAATACTATAAGAGAGAAGTAGAGAAAGGAAGAAACGAGCGCGAAAAAGAAAGCAAGAGAGGAAGAAGAGAGGCACAACAGAGAGGCAGAAAGAGAGAGCGGGTTAGGGTTAAAACCATAAAAAGACACTATTGCGGCGAGATTTGGCCGCAAATGCGGCCGCAACGGCCGCTATTGCGATTTGGTGTGGCGCGGCGCAGATGGTTGCGGCGAAGCTCCGCAAAGCACAACTGGCGCGGCTTGTGGTGCAATAGCGCCGCTATTGACTACTATGTTCTTGTTCCACAGCCAAAACCTCTATGAATTCTGTCAAAACATCCATTGCTTTTACCAACATGACCATTTAGATCTCCTCCTAAGAAAATCTTCTCCTCCCGTGGTATTCCCCTCAAAACCTCCTCTACGTCTTCCCAAAAGTGGATCATTTGGTTGAAATCCAATTTGGGTATAACCCTCAAGCTAAAGCTTAGTACGCTTTAAGCTTGTTATAATGAACCCTTTAAAAAGGAAAAACAGCCAAATAATATACCCTGAGCTCCACAAAACATGGACAGAAAAACAAGAGATGAGCATGGTTGAAAAGATAAAGAGTGCCAATAGGTAAACATGACAAGAAATATGACTAATTGAAGGGAAGGAAATAATCATTGAAATAATAGAGCTCAGGATTTTAAGGAACTCGGCAGTGGAATGGTTACGGGACAAGTAACGCGGTGAATGATATATTCTAATCTAGGTTGTCAGTAGCATCCCGTAGCGCCGCTAAACTGCTACAGAAGCAGGTAGCGGCGGGCGGCTGCTACAATCGCAACACGACGCTGGCCGGTAGCAGAAGGTAGCGACATAGCGTACCAGCTTGTACAGGTGTGCAACGCGACACTGCCCGCTATTTGACATTGATCGTGGAATTATGTGTTTGATTTTGTGCAATTCATTGTTCATTTGTGTTAATTTTGGATCCTTACTTTATGTTCCTTGTATTTGACATTGATTGTGGAATTATGTGTCTGATTTTGAGTGACTTCTTATGTTTGAGCATTTATATTTGTGTAGTATTAGACCGTTAGTATAATATATGTGGAATTAATACTTCACCGTAGCGGTCACTACCCGCTACACCGCTATACCATTTTTGGGGTCGGACGCTAACTGCTACTGACAAGTATGGTTCTAATACCATGTTGAGATTATAGAGATTTAGGTAGAGAAGGAGGAAACAAGAAAACAAACCCTGAATAATAAAATTATATTGATATTGTTGTGAAGGACATACTATAATATATGATATAAAAGACAGAACACTAACCCTTAATTATACTAGTAGTAGACTCCAATCCTTATTAAATAAGGGAAAAAATCATGACATATAAAGAAATATAAAAACTATTCCTAGGAGATCATCTAAGATATTCCAAATTATTCTAACATATTATTATGATATTATGAGGTATCCTCTAGACTTTCTAGCATAACATCAAGAAACGCAGAAGTGCCCCATAATTCAGGAGTTGGCAAAAACTAAAATCAAGAGTATATAAATGAGCAGTTAACCTAGAAAACTTGAACAGTCCAGAACTAAATGCATATACTACCTGAATATATGGGCAAGGACAAATATTTCCAAAGTCCTGCGACCCAATTCTGTGAGACGCCTTTCGTCACGCTCTATAGAATCTTTATTGAAGTCCTCCCCAGAGTTTCCATCCTGCCAAAAATGGTGAACCGGGATTCTAAGCAATAAAAAAATTCCAAAACTAAAAAGCCAAAATGTCTCATACCCTTGCAATAATAGTTTCCCAGGTGACTGAAAATACTACACTATACAGGTGTAATATATGCATACAACTCTCACTAGGCTAAACTTGCTTTATTTTTATGTTAACTATATATGAAATATAAAGCTTATCCTGTCCCAAAGTTTAAGATAATATATCTAGACAAATATAGGTAGAAAAAGTAGTATGTACTCACCCTAAATTCAAAATTACAAAGAAAATATTGCAGTTATTGGCCTAGTAAGTAGTAACATCTCTATCACAAGCATACGCAAAGTTTTGAATAAAATAACTAGTTCATATTTGAATTGGACATCCATTAGAGGGCTGTAGAATCCATTACTGAGACCAAAATTGTTTTTCTTCACAAAACATAGAACTCTATTTCATACCAATTTGACAATAAGTGGATTTCCCTTGCAATATGAAACTGATAAGAACCTTAGGATGCATCACCCCAAAAGTTAGCTCAAAGGGTGGGAATGTCCAAAGCCTTATAAACCCCACATTAGTTGCCCATACAACCAATGTGGGACTCTAAGTCCCATACCTTGCAAATGGGTCCTAAAATTCCACCAAGCTTTGCAGTCGAAGCACGGGGTTCCAAGTCCAAGGGTCCAAACCCCGAGTTCCAGTTCCAGGTTCCAATCTGCGAAACATAGTGGGTGCTCTAATACCATTTGATAAGAACCATGGGATACACCACTCCAAAAGCTAGCTCAAAGGCTGGGAGTGCCTAAGGCCTTATAAACCCCACATTAGTTGCCTATACAACCAACGCGAGACTCCAAGTCCCACACCTTGCAAATGGGTCCTAATAAAAACAAACAAAGCCTTTTCCTGCTAGGTGGGGTTGGCTACATGGATCAAGCAAAGCCAATGTGTTTTGGCATAAACCAACTCTTTCACATGACACTTTAACAAATATACCCCCACATAAAACATTCCTCTAAAAACAATTCCTACAAACTTGTTATTCATCAAACTATGAAATTTTAGAGTAATCAGAGACACATGCATAATCAATCAGAAATAAAGGCATAGAATCCCCCCCAAGAAATGTGAAATTGAAGGAAAAACGCCAACCAGCAACCTACAATAAACCTAAAGAACACATTAGGTTGTAGATTAGCCTCATCAGCTGATAGCAGTTCACTAAAAGTCAATCTCCACACACAGTAGATGGTAGTTCAGAAAAAAGAATAGAGTTTTATTTTTTTTCCCTTTATGTCCTTTCATAATATATATATATATATATATATATATATATATATATATATATATATATATATTTGGTATAATCCTTTCATAATATTTTAGTTGGTTGTTTTGGATGGTTAAATTTCTTAGTCTATAAATAAACTCATCTTATAAAGACTTGTCATTTAACAAAGATTTCATAAAAAAAAAAGGGTACTTGTTGTGACTGTAACAGACTACGGACAAAATCAGATTATTGCACTAGAAAGAGTTCCATTCTCTTTTCCCAGGTCATCTTATAAAGACTGAATCTGATCTCTCTTATGTGTTGCTTTATTCTTTAAAATCTCTTGCACTAATACCATCAGATTCCAATGGGCCTACCCCATATAACCAGCTATCCACATGATTCCCCAGTTAAATTTTACCAACACATTATTTTACTCACCTTTGTCCGATTTTGAGGACCCTTTTCATCTTTCGGAGGCAGAGGTTCTATAGCAGCCCTCTCAAGTAGCAGTAGAACATCATCCACCAGTACAAACATATCTTTCTCAGCACGAACAATTGGTGCTGGCATTTCTTCAGCATCCAACAGTTTTACCCTACCTTTCTTGCACTTAATCTGGCCTTCAAGAGACTTCAATCCACTAAACAAGGAGTCCATTACCAAAGTAGAAGTCACTTCTTTCTCTATAAAGAAGTGTTTCACGATCACTTTCAAGATTACATCTGTCCTTTCCCTAGACATGTGGCGCCTAGAAGTTTGATCAATTTCTCGCCAGAAAGTACAGAAGCTGAAAGTATTGCAAATAACCATTTGTCAGCCAAAAAAATCCAACACCACAAATTAAAGATAATATTTATACATATAAATTACATGATATAAGATTAACTTGCAAAAGAAAATAGATAAAAAAATTTGATTGTTCTCAAAATGTAAAAGAAGGATAATAGTATAAACAAGAAAAGGCAATAACTTAAAATCCAATAAAAAATAGAAAGAAAAAAAAAAGGCAAAACGGTGGAGAGTGCAACGGATAGAGACCCAATAGAAAAAAGTTATAAACTTATCAAATTATCAGTAAACAAAATATTTTTTTATTCCTATCACTGTAAACGTGTGCTGCAACCGGAACTCAAAAATTCTTCTAATTTAATTTTTAACTTTTCAGCTACCCATCCTCCTTGTCTATGTCATGTCGTCAACAAAAAAATGGTTCTCTCTTTCAAACTTTCATCAGTCTCTTGAATTCCCTCTTTTCTTAAATTTCCTCACCTGACATTTAAGATTTATCTCCAATTAAAATTTTACTTCAACATCTCCAAACTTTTTCTCTTGAATTTAAAAGCTCTTCAACTACCAAAAAAAAAAAAAAAAAACTCTACCATTTTCTCTCTCTTAGCACAAGAAACCTTACAGAGGCGAAGGGAGGGTTCAGCCAGTTTGGAAACGAAAGCAGTGTTCAAAAATGAGTGAGTTTGACGTAAAAGAATTGCTCTTTTTTTGGATCGTCCGACACGGTGGGATCGTGTGATCCCATCGTTTTTGCAATTTTACATGGCAATCCGGAGCAATCATGTTTGGAAGTGATTCTGCACACATTCAGATAGGTCATGGAGGCAAAAATCACAAATCATTCGATCCTACGGTTTGAATCGCGATTTTGACTACCATGCACCTAATCATAAAGACTACAAGTGCCTCGGCCTTGCTGGGAGAATATATGTGTCGAAAGATGTTATATTCAATGAATACAAGTTTCCTTACTCATCTCTCTTTCCATCAGAGACCTCCCATAGTCCCACAATTTCCTCTACATTTCCAGCACCATCATTCCTTTCCCTTTTATTCCAAGTCCTTCTTCTTTCCTCCATACTTCTCCTTCACTTCCAACCTGTCCTGTTTATCTCCACTTCTCATTCAGATCCAGTATCCTCATCTTCACATTCACCTTTAAATCAGTCAACATCTTCAACTCATCCTCAAGTCAGTCTTCTGCTACCCATTCATCATCTAATTCCTCTAGACGATCTCCCTCTGCTGCACCAAGTCAGTCCTCAAGGTCATCAACAGAACCACAAATCCCATCTTCTCCTATTCTACCCAATTCCTTCACCTTCTAGCAAGTCCAAGTGTACAAAACACCTGATACATCATATCAGTCAGTCAATTCCACATCAAATTAGTCCTCAAGAGAAAAGCAAGTTCCTTCTTCCTCATCTCAAGGGAATCAATGTTCTCCTACATCACCTAGTCCTCAAAATCAGTCCTTTTCACAAAGTCACTCTCTATTAGAGTATGTAAAATTCTTCATTGAGTCTCTAATTCAGCAACTTCATTCTACCTTTGCTCTTAAAGATCTTGAGGAACTTGATTTCTTCCTTGGCATTGAGGTTCAGAAAGCACCTTCTGGAGCATTGATTCTCTCTCAGTCTAAATACATAAAAGATTTACTCAACAAAGCTCATATGGCAGAGGCAAAAGGAATTTCCACTCCTATTCAATTTGGCTGCAAACTTTCTAAATATGAGTCCAACTATTACTCATACCCTTCTTTCTATCGCTCTATTGTGGGGGCTTTACATTATGCTACTCTCACTAGGCCTAAAATTAGCTACTCAGTGAATAAAGCTTGCCAATCCATGGCTCAGCCACTTGAAGAACATTGGGCTGCTGTCGAGAATTTTGCGTTACTTGAATGGTACCTTGCATCATGGTATGTTGTTGCAACCATGCAATCCCAGTCATCTGTTCTCTATCACAGCATTTTGTGATGCAGATTGGGATAGTGATCCTAACGATCGATGATCCACTTCAGGAGCTTGTGTCTTTTTTGGATCCAACTTAATCTCTTGGTGGTCCAAGAAACAAAATCTTATTGCTCGATCTAGCACTGAAGCTGAGTATCGCAGTTCAGTTTAGTACTCCTCTCATTCTCTGTGATAACTTGAGCACTATATCTATGTCCCATAATCCTGTCCTTCATGCCAGGACTAAGCATATGGAATTAGATATCTTCTTCGCCAGAGAGCGTGTTCTTGCTAAGGAAATACAAGTCTGTCACATTCCAGCCTTAGATCAAGTTGCTGACACACTCACCAAGAGCTTATCTGCCTCACGGTTTGCTGTGTTAAGAGACAAACTCATGGTGGTGGATTCTCTTCGTTATCTCCATCCACCCTGAGTTTGAGGGGACATATTAGAGTAGGTAAAATTGTGCAGCTGTACTTAGGGTCATTTCTGTAAATAGTTAAATATATCAGTTTAATTAACTGATTATAGTTACAACTGAACTAGATGACATGTCACAAAACTCAGCTCTATAAAGAGCACTTGTGTATTGTTTCTGATATTATGAAATGAGATGAACTATTTACTCTCTCTCTCACTCTCGCTCTCTTTCTTCTCTCTCTCTCTCTCTGATTTCTTTGACTCTCCAACCACACCAGTTTAGAATCTTCCTCGTCACCTACTTCACCATCCTCTTCAGGGTCAGAATACATATCCACAACCTCTCTTGGTCTACCTTCACCTACTCACAGCATTACTACTAGGTCAAAAGGTGCCCCTTCTATTTTTACAGCTCATACAGAACCAACCAGAGTCAAACAGGCCTAGGTGACCCCCACTGGATTCAGGCTATGCAGCAAGAGTATAATGCTCTTCAAGCTGATTACCACCATCTAGGAAGCCCATTGGATACAAATGGGTATTTAGAATTAAAGAAAATCCGGATGGGACTGTAAACAAGTACAAGGCAAGACTTGTTGCCAAAGGATTTCATCAACAAATGCCTTTGACTATAATGAGACCTTCTCTCCTATAGTCAAACCCAATGCCATTCGGGTTATGCTCACCCTAGCACTCTATAATGGTTGGCCATTGAAGCAACTCGATTTCAACAATGACTTTTTGAATGGGGATCTTGTGGAGGAAGTCTACATGACTCGACCTCTAGGTTTTGAGGCAGCTGATAAGATACTTGTGTGTAAATTACACAAAGCTCTTTATGGACTCAAACAGCCTCCTAGGGCCTGGCTTGAGAAATTTGGCCACACTCTACTTTAGTTTGGTTTTCATTCTGGCAAGCGTGATCCTTCCCTATTAATTCATTGGTACAATGGTCATTGCACTTACATTTTGGTCTATGTAGATACTATCATCACCGGAAACAACTTAAATCTTATTCAACAGCTCATCAGTAAATTAAACTCCAAATTTGCTCTAAAATAGTTGGGTAATTTGGACTAATTTCTTGGTATAGAAGTGTAACATCTCTCCCAAGGAAGATTGTTATTATCTCAGACCAAGTACATAAGAGAACTTCTCAGCAAAGCCTGACCGAAGCAAAGAGTATCCCTGCTCCCCTGCCAAGTGTTGTAGATTGAGTAAATAAGGGGCAGATCCATAGTAGTTAAAAGCGGATTGCGGCCAACCTTGAAAAACCCTTAGTGCTATAGCGGGATGCAGTTGCAGAAATAGCACAATGGATCACTGGAACCTAGATATACCACACATATATATACTCAAAAATAAAAACAGTCATGATTCATTCATAATAAAGAATTGTTCCAAAACTAACAGGAATTCCAAATAGAAGCCAGAAAAAAAATAAGGCCAAAAAAAAGTAAAGGCAAAAAAAAAAAACACAAACAGCCAGAAAATAAAAAAAAGAGGCAACAAAGAACAACCAGAGTCCAGAACCTAGAAAAAAAAATTCAGCAAAAAAAAAAATCCCAGAAAAAAAAGAGGCTTATATATGTATAAAAAAACAGACAGATGCAACAACAAAAAAACAGAAGCCAGAAAACAAAATGCCGAAAAAAAAAAAACAAAAGCAACAAAAAAATAGAACCCAGAAAAAAAATAAGCCAAGAAAGAAAAAATATATTAGCATATATTGTATCTTTAGTAACACTGGATAGGTTTAACTTTTTACCTCAGTATATTTTTATTGTTTTACTGTGGGTGTATTGTATTGTGTCACAGGGTATTACATCCTTCATTTAGTTACTGGTTTAGTTAGATTTCAGTTACGTAGTTATAGCTGAATCAGCTACTGCTGAATCACCCCAGCTTTATACCAGCTTTATATCACCTCTAGGCTCTAGTACTATTGTTCAGAGACATTGAATACAGAAAAGATATTTCTCATATTCTCTTCTCTCTCACTTTCCTTTCTCTCTCTGCTCTCTTTCAACACCTTTCTTCTTCTTTTCTTTGGAAATAAAACCCAGAAAAAAAAAATTAAATTTCAAACAGAAGCCAGAAAAAAGAGGCCAGAAAAAATACGCGAGCAAGATAGAGAGAGAGAGATAGCATGGCAGACAGAGACGTTTTGTTTATGTTGGTGAAGAAGAGAAGACGCGCACAAGAGAAAGCAAGGAGGCTGTTATTTCTTTCGAACAAAGGGAGAGAGGAAGTGAGGGAGTGTTAAACCCCAAAAAGACCATAATGCCCTTAAAATATTTCTGTTACAGCTTTAAAATAAGGGTAAATTTGTATTTCACCCATATCAACAACCATTTCCGCGAAAGCAAATCACCCACGATTTCACAGAAAATGCGGCCATGCGCCAGATCCATTGCTGCAGCACTTCAATATGCAACTCTAATAAGGCAAGAAATAGCCTTTAGTGTAAACAAAGTTTGTCAATTTTGTCTCAGCCCTTATAAGGACATTGGAAGCATAGTTATTAAATGCGGGTAGCGGCCAAGATTTGCTGAAATTAGAAACAAGTGGCTGATACATTTACTAAATCGCTTTCTGCACCAAGATTTGCTGAACTAGAAACAAACTCAAGGTATTGGATCATGTTCAACTGATTGTATTAGTGTATATTTACTCCTTATATTGTTCATTTCATGACCAGTTTTTTTGCTGAAGTAGCATATAGGATAAGCTTGCACTGCAAGCTCCATTCTGTAACTTCATAAATATCATCTCTGCATTTCAGAGCTGTACCTTGAATAGAAACTTTGTAAACTAGATATTCCAGATCTCATTTTCTTTCATTTTCTCCTTTCTCTCATTTTCTTTGACCAGGTTTAAATTTAAATGATTTACTTATCTTCTTTCAAGATTTGGGTAATATAATCAACACAACAATTAAACAATGTTCCTAATCAGGTTTTGTATTTATTAATGTGGACTTCACTTGAGCAGCTACACCATTATCCGCTCCCCGTTATAACGTTTTTGGAGTCCTACTAAGAGATGCCATCTGAGAATGATAACTATATAGCATAGTCAACGAGACAATTTAGAGTATACATACATGTCAAAGTTTGATGCATTTAAAGATAAGTATGAAATACCTTGACCACCTAGCTTTGTCCTCTATCAACTTCACAAGCTTGCTTCTTCTTTCCTCCACAAAACGCCGGCAAATTTGTTCTACATTTGTCAAATATACCCTAACAAGTTCTCTCCTATACTGACAAGCAAGGCAACGAAAAGGCCTATCAGCTTTCTCCCTGTACATTAAGAACAAAAGAATATAGTCACATATCAGAATCAAAAGCTCCAAGGCACATTGCATCATTGTTCAGAAATAACAAAATCCAATCTGACAGAAGCACAATCTGTTAACAGCTTTTTCCTCAGATTGAGCAGAACAGTTCATAGACACAATGACATAGAAAATCTTTCTATATGTGGCCGTTTGGTTAACCTTTTTCAGAAAAAATAGTGTTTTTAACTAAGCAAAAAATAAGATGTCAATTTAACTACTTGCTAAGCATCAAACAAGTCAACTCCAAAGATAAAAAAGCAAACAGCCAACTTGGCACCATAGTTTATTACTTATAATCCAATAATTTGAAGAAACCCAATATAAATCATAATTTCAGCAGTTCTGAAGTTGTAAACTCTCAACAGTTCACTCTTTGAACAAGATGAGGAACATCACTGGATTCTCTGAAACTTCAAAGTTGTAAACTCTCAACAGTTCACTCTTTGAACAAGATGAGGAACAGTTCACTCTCAACCTTGAAGACTAAACAAGAGAAGTTGTCATGAATATTACAACATCTGATTGGAGAAGAGCAAAAATGGTGGAGGAAGCACGGAATTTCAGTGAACATAGAATGAGATCTTCAAAGTACTTAGAACAGGTTATAGGTATGTATTGTCATGAGGTTAGTTGCAAAAACTATATGAAAAAAGCCAAGGAAGAATAAAGGCACAGACATAGAGAAAGTAGCTATCCTTGCCCTTTATTAGATGCAGATGTGGAACATGATCATGGAAAATACTGCATGGTTACAAAATGGCACAAATGGAATCGAAGGTTGACAACCTCAGATAAATGCTAAAATAATGGCAGGAACTCGTTCGCCCAATTTCACAAAAACTTTCAAAATGTTTACATCAAAGGAAGAATATCATTTCTTGCTGGCTCTCAAATCTCCTATGAAGCGTATTGAAAAGGACTAATCACTCTAACTAGTAGAAGCACAGAGCATTTATATTTTTTTTTCATTCTGGATAAGTAAACAAATGGAATCAAAACTATGTGTACAATAACCTTAATGACCAGTTAAACTGTATACAAGATGGTTTGTGCATATTTCTAAGATTATATATAAAATAACAAATTAAGCATAGAACACCTAATGACTTGAACTTGAGCTTTTATTATCAGATTGTCAGAACTGTCAACAAAGCCGTCATAAACCTTCGAAAGTTCCATAAACTTTTTCCATCCCCAGTCATGCTCCTTCTTCCAAAATCGGTGCAAAGTATCTAGAAAAGTCAAGTAAAAATAATTCAATGATGCTGATAGAAAAATTGTAAACTCCAATAATAAATCCAATTATTTACCAACAGACCAGAATATTTTGATTTCTTCGGGTCTTTATTGACCACAGCTATTGTAAATTGTGCAAAATGACTCCATCCTGTATTACCCCAAATAAAAAGGTGAGAACAAAAAAGAAGTCAGGTACTGTGGGACCATGAGCAACTAGTAACACTAACAGTACGTAATGCAATCCAACTATTTCAAGAATTGAACCTGGAAGAAGTTTGTCATGATTAGCAACACAGAGAAACAGAGAGAGATGATTGCAAACATCACAACCTTGTGGATAAATTAAAATATACCTGCCACACAACACAACATGATTAGGTCAAAACCTCAATCAATATGTACAGCAAGTTTCAAGTCACAGAGACTGTCTCAGCAAACAATATGCGTCTGTTAGATTGTGTGTACCAACTTTGCATCGAGTTCAAACGTGTTAATTCTATGATCATGTTCAACTACTCCTGATATAGGACACACCATTCACAAATAAAAAAAGAAAAGTTTATTTCCCTTGCTTAAATTAGAATGTTATATAGTCACAAATTCCTTTGTAAATGTCTGAAAATTGCAGAGTACTGGAAAGAACTATGTAAACCTCTAACCAATATTTTCCCTCTTTATAGAGATGGTTTAGAGATAAATTACAAACAATAAATTTTGGCAAGACTCATAATATTCATAACAAATTCAGCACCATGATTGACTGAAGCCATAATGGTCTATTTGGGCGCAAAAATAATTTACAAACATGTATCATATGTTGTTAACCAAAAACAAGAGCGAATGAAGGAGAGAAAAAGAGGGGGAAAAATGTAATCCTTGGACCACACCCTTTTTCATGTAACAACAAGCTCCTGAATCAATAAATGTATAAAGGAGAATGATGCAAAAAAGCTTAGATAGTTAAGCTCTAAAGCATGCTAAATACCAAGAAAGGCCAATAAGTTTATCCAAAGCTGCATACCACTTGTAGTTGCCAACCTCAAATGCACAACTGCGAAGTTCCCTTTTGGTAATCTGAGAAAATTTGTCTATCTTCCATGTATGTTTTCCAAACAAGTCAGAAGGTTTAGGTCCTGTAAAGATAAAAATAAAATTTAGATCTTGAACAACTTCTTATGGAAAAAATTTATGTTTTTAACAATTACAAATTCACCACCATCATCATCATCATCAGTGTCCCAGTAAGGGGGTGAAGTTGACGGAGTTCCATTCTCCACCTGCTCAGATGAACGCCATTCCGCCAATGCTTCCCCAGATTGACAACGCTGCCCGCTGAAAATTCCCTCCACAGATTTTCCCACTCCAGATTCCTCACTTGAAATCCCAGCCATTCCTTGATCAAAAACTATTTCACTAACACCTGCTGTATACCCCGCAATCGCATTACATTAAAACATAGAAAATCAGTCAAACATTTAAATTACTCCTTTATCAACTATATCACAGAAGATCCTATAATATATAATGCTAAAAAAGTCAACTCTTACCACTTAAAAGTTAACAATTCTACACAAAATCAGATTTAGGAGCACGGCACATTGTCACGGAAAATCGAAGGGAATATAGAACAAATTCAAATGGCATTAATTCAACATTGAAGCCTAAGAAAATAACACAAACAAAGGAATGGAACCATCCCTTTTACTCAAAATCCAACACAAGAAAACCCATAAACCCACCTCAAAAAAAAATCAAAAACCTACGGATAAAACCCTAAAATAGAGATTAAAAAATTGCATAAAATTAAACTCAAAATCAACCAAATGAATTTAAACAAGGCCGAATTGAACCAAGAAATAAGAAGATTACAAAAACGAGCTGGTTGATGCAAATTGCATGAAACCCAAAACCGAAAATTACGGAAAAGAATCGATGCCCTAAAAAAGACCGAGATCTCAGGCAAAGATTCCCGTGAAAAACATTGATCGAAATCGAAGGAATGGCGCAGAGGAACACCGAGAACAACCCAAGAAAAATAAAATAAACAGGGAACAAGGGTTAATGCAAAACGACGTAGCATCAAACGGATCCAAATTAGAGCACATGAACCTGGAATCGAAGAAGCAGATAACAATAGCTGTGTGTGAATCCGCAGCTCTGGGATTTTAGAGAGAGAAAGGCGAAGAAAAGAAAGAGAGAAGGGGAGAGGTGATGAGTAACGTAGAGCAAAGGAATAACCCGAAACCGAAAATAATTTTTATTTTATTTTATTTTATTGGTTTTTATTTAAGGAAAAAATGTTTCTGCATTTAATGAAAGATAAGTCATCTGCATTTATTCTCAAAACGACGTCGTTTCGGTATTGAAATCTTAAAAAATTATGAATATAAAGACAATTATAACCCTGAAATAAATTAAAATTACAAAAATATCATGATTTTCGCACTAAAACGACGTCGTATTGATTTACTGCATATAAATTATCTGCAGTAACTCCAGAAAAAACGAACCCTTTATTTAAAACAAAATTAAGGATTTTCCTTGTGAATTTTCGTTTTTCCTGATGTCACAGATTCTCATAATCGTGGATGAGAAAAGATAATAATTATGCTTATTAACTTATTTTCATAAATTAATGTCTTCTTTATTTTTTATTTTTAAACACAAATGATTTATTTTCTTTTGAAATATTTGAGTGATCTGTAGCTTATTAACTTACATAGATTATGTACCTACAAACACTAATATTATCTTGATTATGCAATATGCAGGGAATTTTGATTTGATTTATAGTTAGAGATGTCGTTTACTGAACCTGAAATCCTAGTATCATAAATATTATATGTTTGATTGATCTTTTGTTGGACAATGATGTGTAATTTATTATTTTCATATTAAAATATCTGAAATTAGTATATTTTTTGACAAGTATTTGAGTATATTTATAGTTTTTTAATATAAATTATATATTTACATATACTTACTGAGTCATGCAGTTGAACCAATGATCAAGTACCTCGACCAGGTCAATAATCAAGCTGAGTTTAATATTGGTTTGACAGTTTTTTTGCCTTATCTCCTTCTTTGACGTAGAAGTTTAACAAAATATATTTTAATGAGAGTTTTTATTATAAAAAGAACTTTTTTATAATAATTAAAAAAAATAAAAGCTCTCAGAATGAGCTTTATTAAGATATATAACGCTTTTTAAAAAAATATTAAATGTTACTTTATCGAATAATTCATCTCTAGCTTGACCTTTAAAATATTTATAAATTAAAAATTTTATACAAGTATGAAACAACTTTTAATTTTATATTTTAAATTTGGGTTCGCTTTTTCTACCGTCAATGTAGATAATTTTATCTACATTGAATCCAAAACGACGACGTTTAGATGAGGAAATCAAGATATTTTTATAATTATAAATTATTTTAGAATTATAATAATCTTTTTTATTATAATTTGTTATTTTTCAACCTAAAACGACGTCGTTTTGGGAGCGAATGTAGATAATTTATCTACATTTACGGTAGAAACATTAAATACTTTAAATTTTTATTATCAACTTTTAACTTAAGAAATAAATTTACTCCAAATATATTCTAAGAATCAACTTGTTCATCACTAAAATGTTGCTTCGCCTCTCCACCACTGAAGTGAGCCCTTTAAAGAGCCTAATTCAATTGCTCATATGAGATAGCTTCTCCATTCAAACATAGCCCACGTGAGCCCGGGCAAAAAGCCCACAAAATCAACTGGGGTTCAGCCCAAAGGGGAGAAAGGCAAAATGAAAGTGGGAAAAAGATGCTTCATCATGGAATGTTAATACCTTTTATTAGGGACGTATCTGCAAATGTTTCAATCAAGTAATATAAGTTTGTAGAACAAACACAAGTCTACTTTAAGATTATAAAGTTAAAAAAATTAAAACTTACAAAAACAAGAACAAAAAATTGAGATTTATCTTATACGCATTATTTTATTAGAATTTATCTATTATCAATATGAATTAGGAAATGAACATATCTCTACCCAATGAAGGATTCTCCTCCCCCAAATTTATCTCTCTGTTTTTTTTTTTTTTTGCCTTTAGTTGAATATCTTTCTTCCATGTTTGTTCCAAATTTTTTTTAAAAAAATTTTTATTTTTAGAATTCCTTTTATAAAATTATTTAAAAGAAATTAAATCTTACATCATCAAAATAAGAATATAAATGAAATGAAAATTCTTGTTATTTCTTTGAAATCAAATTTGGTCAACAAATTAGTGATCCCTCCTTATCACTATTTAAAAATTAATTTTTTGTTCCAACAATAATAATAATAAGTTTTTCCTCTCTCTTTTTTTTGATAAACCACATATATCCTCCACAGAAGGCAATTCTGTTCGGGATGGGTCCAGGATTAAGGCTTTAAGTTCTTCCAAAAGATGATAATGGAAAGGATCAAACACATCCTTTTTTATTTTAATTCTTTTTAGGATTTGTGGTTAAATGATAATATTCTAGATTAAAACTGAGGAAAAGTACTTCTTAAGACATTTTAAAATCTTTGTGAAGGTATAATATTCATTCACATTTTAGAAAATGATTATTTTGAAATTACTACCTCAATCAAAGAAAGTTGAACAATCTTGAGGGCCAAGTCAACTAGATTAGCAAAATGCATGTAAAGATAATGGTTATTCAAAGTCCATAAACATATAAGAAGATAAAGTGCATTTTATAAAGAATATCAAGCGCATCTAAGAAGAAATTAGTCATTGATCTAAAAAATCTCTATAGTTAACTTGTCTTAAGATATCTGGATAAATTCAATTCTGTATTCAGTTATATCATGACAACATACCACTATATCACTTAAAATGCATCCCCTTTCCAATTCATTACCATAGACTCATTGGAAAATTGGTTTACTTAAACATAATGTGCCCATATATATGCTGCATAATTCACACTTCCTCACAGTTCTTACAATGTAATGCCTGGCCGCTTGCTGGATTAATGATTGTCCCCACACATTAACACGAAATTTTTCAATGTGCTTTGTCCTCATTACCAAATTTCCTAGGAAAACTTCTCAGAAGATCATCCATCCCATAATTGCTCCAAGCCAAGCACATTTAACTATGGAGTTCTTCCGTTATGAGCTACTGAAAAGTATATGCATCTTGTTAGTATAGGTAATACCAATTAATTCCTTTAAGCTATTCTCAATTGTACCGTCTCATACCAGCATAGTCTCTGGAATCCCTCTCTTTCGGGTGTTGATTTGATTCATTCATGTACCTCTCCCGCTGAAAGCCTGCCAAGAGCCACTCCTTATCGTCACAGCCCTCCTACCTTAGCGAGTCTGGACTCCAGAAACTGGGCATGACAACTGGTAATACAGCCCAACCCACGTGCCAAAGGAATATCACTTCCCACTCTCGTCAGCACCCAGGATGTTACAAACAACCCAAATAGATTCATTACAATGTTGTTTATAGGGTTCTCTGATATTTCAAGTATAATCCAGGTCAAGGTGTTATGTTATAGACTGACAATGACATGAAAAATCATATGTATTGTGACTCAGATTGGGCAAGCTTCTCTATTACTCTTCGTTCACTCATAGGTTACTTCATGATGTTAGGTATAACAACCCTCACTATCAAAATAGGTGACAATAAATTAATTAAGTGTTTAATGGAACTAAACACGTATTCAAGAAAACAGTGAACGGTAAATCATGTAAATTATATAATAATCAAGTAAATGATACAGTTCATGCTAGACAAGTCAAATAGGATCCAAGTGTAAGTATGGAAAATATTTGAGGACATAGATGTCATTATGAAGAAAGTTAGCATTAAGTTGATAGTGGACCAAAACTAGGCCAATTCTTGAATTAGATGATCTAATTAAATTGTTTGATTAATTTCATGGGTACAAGGTACTTTTAGTTTAATTAGATGATGTCTATATTAATTATTAAAATTAGGTCAAAGATTGGTTAATTATTAACAATAGAAAATGATATTGGTCAAAATGTGATTAAGTGGACCAATTAGGTTGATGATTGAAAAGTCTTTAAAATATAGACCAATGGAAACATACTTGGCAAGTCAAAAAACAATTCAAATGCTTAGTCATAGTTGAATAACTTACTAGCCAATAGGAATTAAGGTTGAAAGTCTTAAGAATAAATTGTCCAATAGGATTCAAGTTTGAAAGTCAAGGATGACATGTAAAGTATTTAGTATCTTAGTAACAATTTGCAATCAAAGTTGATTGTCTTCTCTTCTTGTAATTCCATGCCACCTTCCTTAGTAAAGAAGAGATCCAAATATTCTAGAAGGTTGTATTAAGTGATGACAAGGTAAAGTAGTAAACAAATGGACCAATGAGAGACTAGCATGAAAAGTTAAAAGTAACTAAGGGAAAAATAATATAACTTGGTGAGATCTTTATGTATAGGTCGGCTAACTTACCTCTCCAAGTCTTTATAAGATACCTTCTTCTTCTTCTTCTTCTCTTGTAACTGTGAGCATGCTTAGGAGGAAGACAAGCTTAGAGAATTAAATTTAAACACTTTTAGGGTTAGGTTTCTTCATGAAACTTCAAGAGGTAGATCTTGTGAGTAAACCCTAAGTATTTGTTCTTTGAGAGGAGCTTTATCTTGAGAGATATTCATCTATATATGTAGAGCCTCAAATCTGCCCAAGATGGTTTAGAAGCTTGTTTTGAAGTTTAATTGGTGGAAAATACTTCCTAGCTCCTAAAGAATGGTTGGAAATTATTGTATGTTGCTTGTTAAGGGCTGATTAGGGTTTCTTATATCATGAACCTATGATGAGATTTAAGTGGTTTAATGTTCTTTGGCGGTGGTTTGTTGGTTTGAAGTTAAATTATGCATGATTAAGCTTAAAATGAAAAGAGGGTTTTATGTTTTGTAAGAAAAACAAATCGGCCAAGAGAGTAAAAAGGATGCACACCAAGTGTTTGATAAAAATACTAAGTGAAACTAGAGTTTCTAAGTGTTAAAATGATGATTGGTTTAAAAGAAAAATTGATTGGAGTTAGTTGAGTTGATTAGAAAGTGACAAATCCTAATGGAGTGATATCTAGCCTCTATTTTGCAAAATTTATAATTGGAGTTGTAAGACTCCAAATTGAGGGTGGTTTATACCAAATTAAAGGTACACAAGTCTACTTTAACATATAA